AACAATGACTACAGCTTCAACAGCYTTTAATAGTCACATAAATGTGTAAAACAAATAGTTGTTCTTATAAATTCAATAGCTCATTTCCTGTGACATCCATCTGCCTTAATTTCTTGTTCATGTACAATATTTGATCTTATTGTGTTATAAAACACAGGCCACACTTAGCATATTAACATCCATTAAATTGAATGGAGTAAATATCTTTTTGAATGATTTAATCTGTGGGACTGTAGGTAATATCCATTTTCTTTCTCAGTTAAGTATTTAAACTTTTTCAAAAATTTGGCCCACTTTGTTCCTGCAGAGCAGAACTTGCTTGTATCTCGTTGATTTTTATCCCAACACACATGAAGAACACAATGTTATTTTTGGTTTACAAAAAAAAGTTGTGTGTGCACAAAAAGGACGCAATTTGCAAACAGCACAACTATGAGATGTCACTTTATCAATGCACTAGTGTTTGAGATTAATCTGTTTGAATAGGATTTAAAAAGAAGGAAAAAATAGGCAACGGTCTTAACAGTGGATTTTTTTTTTTGGTTTTTATTAATTTCCCCTTGCTTTAACTTATAGTTTAAGTTTTGTACAATATGTTGGCACAAATGATATGTTTCATCTATTACCACACCAAATTTTAGATCAATATCTGTAAAATTAATTTATTTACAGCAGTGTGTCTGCTGAGGTTGGTATGGCAGACATTTTGAATTAAGTTGCAAAAATGAATCAACTGTGGATGCACAGGCAGTGATTATATTTTGAAAATTTCTTTAAATTGTCTACAGTAGTTCTTGATTTAATTTGGCAACAAACTCACGCAGGCATGAGCAAAAAACAAAATTGTTAGCCTTCATCTTTTAGCGAAGTGCAATAACTATTGCCCATGGCCTTCAAACTTATTTTTAAATTTTTTTAGACATGACCCACTTGCATCTGACCTTGAATAACTCACATAGTAAACAACTATACTGTACTTAACAAGAAACCTGTTTGAGAAAAAGACAATAATTAAACACGTGAGGCCAAGAAAATAAATAATATCATCCCATATAAGTGTAAAATAGTTTTTTTAGTTTCTTAATAGAAAAATTAAGAAAAGTCACATTTTTAAAACACATTAAGAAGCCATGTGCCTGTTTGTTGCTCTGTTTAAACATCACTGTAGGTGCACTGTAAGAATGAACAATAACACAGATGCAGTGGCATTTTCATCTGATTTTTATCGACTGAAAAAACATGGACATGGCACAGCATTATCTTTGGAATTAAWTTTTTTCAGAGTATTACTTTCTACATTATTTTATGTTATTGTGCAAGAGGTTGAGTGAGGTCATAGGTTCATCACAGGGCCCTAATAACATCAATAAAAACAAAATCAAAACTTCCTTCATATTACTTTTCATGGCTGCAAAGGGAAACAACTTTTAGTAAATTCTTAGCATCGTTACATTAACTTTGRGTTCACAAACCCTGAGTATACCTCCTAAAATGAGTTATTTTATTGCTTTTACTGTCTAGTCACCTTATAGCCACTCAGTATATGTTCTGTTAAGTCTTTCAAGCATCACACTAACACCAGACCCCTGATGTGAGTGTTGTTGTGCTGACTTTGTGCAAGTTTAATGACAGAGGTATTGGTCTCTAATAATAACATTGTTTACAGAGACCATCCAGGCCACTGTGCATGCACAAATAGGCCTCCTGATCTCCGTGCCAAAACAGACAACATATAACTACATGCATAATTTATATGCTCTTCGGAACTCAGAACTCTGTATTTTATAATTTAACCGTGAAACATTGCGCACATCCAAACTTGCTTTTTTACAAACAAATAGAAGTTGTTCAAAAGATCAGAAATACCTGTTCTTTCTGCACTGATTGCATTGCAGACTCCAATTTCAGACTTTTGTTTCACTTCATAATGGGATTTGGTGGTTTTCTTAAGCAATAAATGTGATGGTTGCAGAATGAGGCGTGTGAGAGCAAGTAAACAGGAAGCAAGGCAAACAGGATGATGAAAACTTTATGGGGTAACATAACGTCTGCAATAAGTTTGCAGATTACAAGTTTACAGGAGGTAACAGTTTATATTACAAAGGGTAGGATAGTAGCATTATAGCCATAAAGACTGAAAAGTACCTACTGCGAACAACTGAAGGAAGGTGTTAAAACTTACTTTGGAAATAGAACCTGAACAGAAGAGGAAGCGGGAGGAAGAAGGAAGTAAGGAATGAAAACATATTACAAATTGTTCCTTTCTAAAGCACATCAAGTAAAGTAGTTAATCCGAAACAGAACAATAGAAGATATACTTTGTGGGAAATGGAGAAATTTGAGTAATACTCTGGTTTTGAGTGACGTGGGTCTAAATAAAAGCTGTGGCAAAGGGACATCTGTGTAAAAACATTAACATTTAAATTAATAGAAAATATTTACGTATTTTAAACAATTTATGGAATATGTTCATCTAAACCAAAKGTTGCCTTCTGCAGACCAAACACATGCATATTACCACATAGCAATATTTGTCTGGGCCAGTCCTGGGACACACAATGCACACTTAGCTCGGATAACGCAAAGTATGATGGCCCTTTGGTGATCCAGATGTGGTTTGCCAAAGGTGGTCCACGTATGGGCCAGCACCACATAAACCAAACCACAACTGGGCCAGTTGTGGCACGCCATTTTTTAAAACAATGCCATCAGTGCCAGACCTGGCCCACATGCGGCTGACAAACCACTTGCCTTGACAGCAGGGTCTGCTTGACATCAGAGCTGCCCCACAACTGTCTGCTACTGTATGTRGGACTAGTAATTGTCCCTTGTTGTGTTAGTAAAAGTGTGAATGCTTGTTTGTCTCTATAGCCGTGTTTCTATCCATTTTTAATTCGAATTTTGAGCAAATTTGAAAAATTTTGCAAAAAGAAAAAAATGAAGAAATGAAATTTCAAACGTGTTTCCATCAACTGGCTTGAAGTGAATAAATTACGTCAGATGCATGCGTGTAGTAAACAGGAAGTAAAAGTTGCATCTCAGGACAATGGAGAGAAGTTATCAGGAATGTGTTGCTACTTTCGAGAAAGTTGTACTTATTTTCTTATCAACTAGTTCTGGTGTTATTACATGCTGTCTGGAAACGTAGAGAAAGAAATGGAATTCTCTTCCCGTTACGGAAATAACAGACGACACTGACAGCGGGAGGAGGGTCCTGCTGCGAGTCGCGGCTGCAGTAGCTTTGGCACCGGTCCGGTACCGTTCAGACAGTCGGAACAACTGATCAACCTTGTGAGGTAAATGTTCGCTACGTCAGAACTGATTTGGCAAATGTGCTTTCATCTCTCCTTTTGCGCATTAACTCTTTTTCGAAAAACCCAAAAAAACACCTCAAGCGAGCGCATCAACTTTTATACGAATTAGAGGAAGTTTTTTTTAAATCAAGCCATTTCCATTCACCTTTTCTGATGCAATACTTCAAAACGTGCATTAAAAAATGTTAATAGAAACATGGCTTATGTGACCCTGTGATGGACTTGAGACCAGGGTGTATCTGACTCTCGCATAGTGACTGACATACGTACCAGCGTTCCCCATGATTTGAAAAAGAAGAAGTGGATAAGGATCAAAAATGAATAAACGGAGTACAAAAAGATTACAAAAACAAACTAATGAAGTCCCACACAACTGTAATGACTTGTGGGAAAAACTGAAGCACAGCTCATGTAGAACAAGCTAATAAAAAATGAAATATTTTGTGGGTAGAAGTGTTCATCTTGTATGATACCATGGAATTACCGGAGTGTCAAAAAGATAGACTGACATCATGACTATATCCC